ATTGTACTAGTGATAAGTCATTGGATTTCATTCTGTCACCTTATGATTCTTCATTGCTTAGAATTTCCTCTTCTATGTGAGAATAAAACTATCTCTTCTATATCTCATTCATGTTTGTGCTCTGGGTGTCTTTTTTTCCCCCTCCCTCCTCCCTGCCCCATTACTAGGGAAAACCCCTTAGATTCAAGCCAAAAGTAAAATGTTCTCAGAGCAGCTAGAGAAGCTCACACTATATTCCATAATAAGCTCCAATTGGATACATGACCTAGATATAAGAGGCCATAAACACATTAGAAGAGCAAAGAAGAAAATATCTTTTGCTACTATGGATAGGGGGTGAGTTCATAAACACACAAAGAATAGAGAGGATCACAGAAAAGAAAATGGACAATTTTGATAGCATGAAATTTAAAAGTTTTGCACAAACAAAATCAATGCAGTTGAAATGAGAAGGGAAAATCAGACATAGATCAACATATCACACCACACACCAAGATAAGCCCAAAATGGATAAATGATTTAGACATAAAGGATATTGTCAAAAGCAAATTAGGTGAACCTGGGAGAAATTACCTGTCAGATCTATGGATAATGACCAAGCAAGAAATAGAGAGGCTCACAGGAGGTAAAATGGATAATTTTGATTTCATGAGATTAAAGGTTTTTTATTGTTTTTGCACAAACAAAACCAATACAGCCAAAATTAGAAGAAAAGTAGGAAACCAGGGGAAATTTTGCAGAAAGTTTGTCTGATAAAGTTCTCATTTCTCAACTATATAGAGAACTGAGCCAAATTTATAAAAATAGGAGCCATTCTCCAATTTATAAATGGTCAAAGGATACAAACAGGAAGTTTTCAGAGAAAGAAATCAAAGCTACCAATAAATATATTGAAGATGCTCTAAATCACTAATAATTAGAGAAGTAAAAATTAAAACAATTCTAAAGTATCACCTCATACCCATAAGATTAATTAAGATGACAGAAAAGGAAAACGACAAATCCTGGATGGGACAGAGGAAAATAGGTACACTAATACACTGTTGGTGGAGCTAAGTAGTCCAGCCATTTTGGAGAACAGTATAAAACTATGCTGAAAGGGCTACAAAACAGTGAATGTCCTTTGATCCAGAAATATCACTACTAGGTTTATACTCTAAGGAGATCAAAGAAAAAACATTAATGCAACTCTTTTTGTGATAGCAAAGAATTAGAAACCAAGGGGATGCCCATCAGTTGGGGAATGGCTGAGCTGTGGTATATGAATGTGATAAAATACTATTATGCCATAAGAAATGATGAAGGGGATTGTTTCAGAAAAACCTGGGAAAGCCTATACGAACTGATGCAAAGGGAAGTGATGGTGACTAGGTGAAGCAGTGGATAGAGCAATGGATTAGGAATCAGGAATATTAATCTTTCTGAGTTCAAATCTGGCCTCAGACACTCACTAGCTTTGTGATGCTAGGCAAGTCACTTAACACTGTTTGCCTCAGTTTCCTCATCTGTAAAAATGAGATGGAGAAGGAAATGGCAAGTCATTCCAGTATCTCTGCCAAGAAAACCCCAACTGGTGTCACAAAGAGTTGGACACAACTGAAATTATGGGACAACAACAAAAATAACAAAGCAAAGTGAGCAAGAGAACAATTTACACAGTAACAGCAATATCATAAGGAAAATCAACTGTGAAAGACTCACGATATAAAATGCTATCCCACTTCCAGGTGGAGAACTGATGGATTCAGTGCAGATTGAAGCATATTTTTTCCTTTATTTTTATTTTTTAAAATATATGGCCAATGGAGAAATGTCTTGCATGACTGTATATGTATAATGAGTATCATATTTCTTGCCTTCTCAATGGAGCGAGGAAAGAGTGTAGGGAAGGAGAGAATGTGAAACGAAAAATAACCATAAAATTCAAATTTAAAAAATAAGAAATGAGAAGACAAACAATTAGAGAAAAATCTTTGCAGTGTGTTTCTCTGATACTAAAATATATAAGCAATGGATTCAAATATAGAAGAATGAGAGCCATTCCATAGTAGTTAAATGATCAAAGGATATGAACAGGTAATTCTTAAAGGAAGAAATCCAAGTTCTCAACAGCCATATGAAAAACATGTTCCATGTCACTAATAATTAGAGAAGTGCAAATTAAAACAACTCTGAAATTCCCACTCCCACACTCATCAGATTGGCAAAGATGACAAAAAAAGGAAAAAAAAAAACTGTCAACTAGACCGAAGGAAGACAGACACAATGGTGCTCTGTTGGTGAAACTGTGAGTTGATCCATCTATTGTGGAAAGCAATTTGTAACTATGTCCCCAAAGTCACTCAACTGAAACTTTGATTTAGCAGTACCACTACTAGGCCTATACACCAAAGAAATCAAAGAAAGAAGAAAAAATGTTCCATTTCTACAAAAATATTTATAGCACCTTTTTTTTAACAGCAAAGAATTGTAAACAAAAAAGATGTCCATCAATTGAGGGATGGCCAAGTTATGATATATGAGTGTAATGGAATATTAATCCTCAATAAGAAGTGACTAAAGAAATAGTTTCAGTGATATCTGAGACAACTTGTGTGAAGTGAGCTGAACCAGGAAACAATTTATATAGTAACAGTAACATAGTAGAGAAAACCAATTTTGTAGGTCTCAAGAACTCTGATTAATGCAATGACCAATCATAATTCCAGAGGATGGATGGTGAAGCAGGCTTACACACCTTCTGATGGGGAGGTAATGGATTCAAGGTGCAGAATGAAGCATATCATACATTTTTTTGCACATAGCAAATGTGTGATTTCTTTTCCTTAGGATAAAGTTATGGACATTGGCATAGGAAACTCCCAGGTGAGGAAATTTCCTCTGTGCAACTTCTCTATGAATTATAGTCCTAGAAAGTCACCTGGAACATTGAGAAGTTAAGTGATTTGCCCCAGGTCACACAGCCAGTAGATAACAGGGAGGATGTGAACCTAGATCTTCTTGACTTCCAGATCAACCCTCAATCTGTTATGCCAAAGCTGCCACTCATTGTTTTGTTTCACTGTACTTATTTGTTATAGGTATGGTGGTTTTTTTTCTCCAAAATAAAGATTTACAGCTTTCCAAAATTTTATTTTTCTGTTTTACTTTATATATGGAAATGTTCGTTTTGTGAGTTTATTACACTCATAGTAAGCAATATCAGTTACACAGGTATAAGGCCAGGGAAATGCAAACTTAACATAAAATAACATGGAGGTGTTTGGGGAGGATCTTAGTCAAATAAAAACTCAGGGTGAACTAATAGTATGATCTTGTTACTGAAAAAGTTAATGTGATTTTGGGCTGCATTCAAAGATATTCAGAAAGAATGAAAAGATGACAGTCACACTGTCCTCTGCTCAGATCACATCTGGAGAATTGGGTTCAGGATTGGGTTCCACCATTTTAAGACAGGTGTCAGCACACTGGTGGATGTCCACAGAACAGTGATCAGAACAGTCTAAGACATGGAAACAGTATAATTGTAGTCCCAGTTTAAAGAACTGAGGATGGTTAGCCTGGAGAAGAAAACACAGGAGGTCCAAGATAGTGGCCTTGAAGTATTTGAAGAGATGTAGAAGAAAGATTAGACATTCCAGGAACAAGGGGAAGGAATAGGAAAAACAATTTTCAGCACAAATCTCACTTTTTACAGGAAGCCTTTCCTGATTCCCTTAACTCTAGTGCCTTCCCTCTCTTGGTTATTTCCAGTTTATCCTGAATATAGTTTGCTTATACATAGTTGTTTGCATGTTGCTTCCCCCCATTATTAGACTATGAGTTTCTTGAAAGTAAAGACTTGTCTTTTACTCTTCTTTGTATCACTCGGCACATAGTAGGTGCTTAATAAGAGTTGACACAATACAAGAAAGACCTTTTAAAAAACCCAACAAATTTATTATTTATTTTTAACATTCATTTTTTAAAAAAATTTGAGTTCGGAATTCTTTCCTAACCACATTCCCCTCCCCAACCCATTGAGAAGGCAGGAACTTGGTGAGGGTCCCCCCCTTCCATATTCAGAGGGGTCTGCTGGGATCTAGGGGAACAGAAAAGAATGTGCATTTATTAAGCCCCTACTGTGTGCTAAGAGCTTTACAAATATTGTCTTATTTGAGACCATGAGGTTTTAGGGGAGATGAGGCACATTGTTGGGGACAGATGTCATGGGGCAAAGTAGAGCTGGATTTGGGAGAGATGGGAGGGAGGTGAACCTAGGGTGGGGTTGGGGGTCATTGTCCTCAGGGCAGCTGGAACAGATGGGAAACTCAGCTGGATGGAAGAGGAGAAAGGGGGGAGAAAGGGGGATTGATTAGGAAGACGGGGACACAGACCTACAGTCCAAAAAATCAATTATACATGCGAAATCATGTAAAACAGATTTCTATATTAGCCATGTTTGGAAAAAACAAAGCACAAAAAATAGAGCGAAAAAAATATGCTTCAATTTGCACTTCACATTTCATCAATTCTCCCTGTGGCTGTAGATAGTACTTTTCATCATAAGTCCTTCAGAATTGTCTTAGATAATTGTCTTGATCAGATCAGAGTAGCTAAGTCTTTCACAGTTGATAATCCTTAACAAAATTGCTGTAACTGTGTACAATGTTCTCCTGGTTCTGCTCACTTTCACTTTGTATTAGTTCATATAAGTTTTCCCAGGCTTTTCTGAAACCATCCTGTTTGTCATTTCTTATAGCACAAAAGTATTCCATCACAATCATATACCACAAGAAAGACCTTTTAGTAACAACTTCATAAAAATAAATTTAATTTAATGATGATTTAAGTTGCCCAACAGCAGATTGGTAGTCACTGTAGGAGAATGAGATTTGCAGGGGCAGGATGACTTGCCCACTGGGAGTTGAATATTGGATTAGAAGACCTCTCAGGTTCTTCCACCTGTGAGATTCTGAAATGATGCCCGCTTTCCGCAAAGATGCTCTTTTGGTCCTTAGAGGTCTCCAGCACTAGGGGGCTCTGCAGAGAGGGGACTGTGAGATCCCCAGCACTAGGGGGCTCTGTACAGAGTCCTCTAGCACTAGGGATTTTGATTACTAGGGGGCTCTGTAGAAAGGGAGGGTGCAGGAAGGTTCTGGGTTCCCCAGTGCTAAGAAGAGCCTTGGGAAAGGGACATTGGGGGCAGCTGAGCGAGTTATGGTTACTGGGGCTTCTGGGAACCCACCCCACCCTCCCTATGGTCTCCCCTGTCCTAAGGGGGCAGGGCTATCTATGGGGCTGCTGAGGGTTGGGGGTCTGCATCTTACAGCCCCCCTAGGGCCTCTGCTCTCCTTGCTGCTGCTGCTGCTGCTGCTATTCGTGCCATACAGTGAACCTGGTGAGGGTACCCCCTTCCATATTCAGAGGGGTCTGCTGGGATCTAGGGGAAGAGAAAAGGATGTGCATTTATTAAGCCCCTACTATTGTCTTATTTGAGACCATGAGGTTTTAGGGGAGATGAGGTACATTGTTGGGGACAGATGTCATGGGGCAAAGTAGAGCTGGATTTGGGAGAGATGGGAGGGAGGTGAACCTGGGGTGGGGTTGGGGAGGGGGGGCATTGTCCTCAGGGCAGCTGGAACAGATGGGAAACTCAGCTGGATGGAAGAAGAGAAAGGGGGGAGAAAGGGGATTGATTAGGAAGATGGGGATACAGACCTACAGTCCAAGAAAATGCAGGATATTCATTGCTGCTATTCATTCATTGGCCCAGGTTATGTTTTCTCCCCTCTCCCATCCATTTGATATCTATGGGATACAGTGACCCACTTTCTGTCCATCAGTTATTTTCAGGGACTTGAGCCTCCTGTGTGTGGGGCCTTGGGAGGAGAAACAGTTGTGAGATACCTGAGCCTCGATGAATCCATGGGTTGGCTTATGGAGGGCTGGGAAGTAGAAGAAAGTAGAGATATGCCCCCCTTCCCTAATATTCCTGTTTATGGAGCCACAGACTTAAGGAGGGAAAAAGGCCCCCGTTGTCACAGATCCCATAGAAACACTGGTGTTACTGGTGGTTGTGTAAAGGACCCTGGATTTGGAGGCAGAAATCTAAGGGCCAAATCACATCACTTTGTTTACCAACTATGGGATCTCAGGCAAGTCTTCCTTCTCTGGAAAAGGAGGGGATTGGATTAGATGAATTCTAAGGACCATCTCCTAGGCTCTATGAACCCCTTTCACCCCATTTAATGGGAGAAGTAGTGTACCACTTTAATCTCTCTCTCTTTTTCTCTCCCTCCCTCCCTCCCCCCCACTCCTCTCTTTCTCTCTCATTGTTTCTATCTTTCTCTCTTTTCTCTGTCTGCCTGTCTCTCTGTCTCTGTGTCTCTCTCCTTCCGTCCTGCTTTCCATGCCTACCTGCCTTCTTCCTCCCTAGGTCTATCTTGTGGCCAATACCATCCATTTAGGAAAGTCATTCGTGGACAGGCTGCCCCACCAACAAAGTGGCCCTGGCAGGTGAGCCTGCAAGTTTATCACAAGCACATGTGTGGAGGATCCCTCATTGATACCGAATGGGTGTTGACAGCTGCACACTGCATCTTGTGGTGAGTTACCCCTTGCCAGACCACACACATGTGGGAGGAAAACTGCCTCAGACACTGATTACCATGAATTCCCCCAAAAGCCAGAGAGATGAAAATACTCTTCGTTCCTCCAGGGAAATTGTACCTAAATTGGGACAACATCTCTCCTCCTCCTGCCCCTATCAATCAATCAATCAAAAAGCATTTATTAAGTATAGCAGTCCCTGTGCAAAACATTTTCTGAATGCATTCAATATTTAGGGCACTGTACAAAATCCTCTATTTAACATTCGAAGCCCTTTGTAACTTGGTTCTCTCTTACCTTTCCAGTCTTCTTATACTTTACTCTCTGAAATATATTCTTCTCTCCAGTAATACTGGCCTCCTGGCAGTTCCACAAACAAGACCCTCCAACTCTTGGCTCCTGTTCCCTATGCCTGGAATGTTCTACCTTCTCTGCTCTGACTAATGACTTCCTTGGCTTTCTTTAAGTCTCAACTAAAATCCCACCTTCTATATGAAGCTTTCCCCAACCTCTTAATCCTAATGTCTCCCCTCTATTCATTATTTCCTATTTAGCCACTACATAGCTTGCTTTGTATATATTTGTTTGCAAGTTGTCTTCCCATTAGATGTAAGTGCCTTGAGGGCAGGGACTGTTTTTTTGCTTCTTTTTGTCTTGAGTGCTTAGCAAGGTGCCAGCCACATAACAGGCATTTAACAGATGTTTATTAATTGGTTGATTGTACTAGGTACCTTGGGGAATCCCTGTTCTCAGAGCTTAAAATCTTGTTGGGGACTCAGAACACACACAAAAGATTATATGTAAAGCCACGAATCTCTATTTCACACAGCCTGCTTTTAAAGATAATGTATAATAAATGTAAAGAATGAATGAAAAAGCATTCTGTAAGCATTTGTTATAGTGCTAAACAGTATGTTAGGTGCTAAAGATAGAAATACAAAACAAAGCTTGTTCCTGCTGGCAGAGAGTTTACATTCTTCCACGAGGAGACCCCACACTTAGGAAAGTGGTGACCAAGGAGGGGGCAGTCTAGTCTGGAAAGTTATAAACTTTGCCTAGAGCAATGGCAGCAGCCAACCAGGGGAAAGGACCCCAGAGTGGAAGTTCCAGATGGGAAAGGATTAAAGCCTCCTGAGCATGATTTCTGGTTCAGCTGCTTAGGCTATTGAAAAGATGACCCAGTGTACTCTGAAGTACCACACCATACTTATCAGATTGGCTAACATGACAAAACAGGACAATAATAAATTTTAGAGAAGATGTGGGAAAATTGGAACACTAATGCACTGTTGGTGGAATTGTGAACTGATCCAACCATTCTGGAGAGCAATTTGGAACTATGCCTAAAGGGCATATCCTTTGACCCAGCCATATCAATTCTAAGGCTGCATCCCAAAGAGATTTATAAAAATGGGGAAAAGACCCACATTACAAAAATATTTATAGCAGCTCTTTTTGTGATGGCAAAGAATTGGAAATTGAGGGGATGCCCATCAATTGAGGAATGGCTGAACAAGTTGTGGTATATGAATGTAATGGAATACTATTGTGCTATAAGAAATGATGATCAGGCAGACTTCAGAAAAACCTGGAAAGACTTGTGTGGTCTGATGCAGAGTAAAATGAGCAGAACCAAGAGAACATTGTACACAGTAACAGCCACATTGTGCCATGACTGACTTTGATAGACTTGGCTCTTCACAGCAATGCAAGAATCTAAGAGTTCAAATCTGGTTTCAGATACTTGACACTTACTAGCTGTGTGACCATGGGCAAGTCACTTCACCCCATTTCCTTGCAAAAAAAAATCTAAGACAACTCCAAAAGACTGACGATGGAAATTGCTATCCACATCCAGAGAAAGAACTATGAAGTCTGAATACAGATGGAAGTATTCTATTTGCTCTCCTTTTCTTTTGTTCTTTTGTTTTATTGCTTCATACTCTTGGTTTTTCCCATTAGTTCTAATTATTCTTTACATCATTCCCAATGGGAAAATATGCTTAATATTAATGTATAAGTAGAACCTATATTAGATTGCATGCTGCCTTGGGTGGGGAGAAGAGTGGAAGGGGGAGAAAATTTAAAACTCAAAGTCTTGTGGAAGTGAATGTTGAAAACCAAAACCTAAATAATAATAATAACAATAAAATAAAATAAAATAAAATGAAAGATGACCCAGTGTAGATCTGATGATGTGTGTGGCAGAAGAATAGCACAGATAGGAATTCAGAGGAGAGACAACTCGTTGTGGGCTAGAGGGATCAGAGAAGGCTTTTTGGAGGTCTTGAGTTTCACAGGGCTTAAGAGGAGAAACAGAAAGAAGAAAAGGTATCACTGGCCCCAAAGGCAGGTGGGTTGGGGAGAAAGGGATAGGGCAGTGTGACCAAAGGTCCAAATGAAAGGGAAGAGAATGACATGTATCTGAAACAAGCAAGAGATGAGTAAGGTTGGAGCTGAGGGTCAGTGTGGGTGGGTTAAAGGAAGCTATGGCCAGATTGTAGGAGGACTGAAATCCTAGGGAGAGGAGTTTGGATACCCAAGAGTATGGATGTTGCTGGTGGTACATGTTTTATGATGTTTTTTTTTTTTTCCCTTTCTCACAGGGATTATAATTACACTGTGAAGCTTGGAGATACATCCTATTATGCCTCTGAGAACAGTACCATCGCCACCGTCAAGGACATCCTCATCCATCCCTCTTACTCAGAATTCATTTTCGTCAAGAATGACCTTGCCCTTGTACACTTGGAATCTCCAGTTACACTCACCCAGAAGATTCAACCTATCTGCCTACCTTCCAGCAAATTCCACGTGAAGAACGGGACCCGCTGCTGGATGGCAGGATGGGGCCAGACTACAGAGAAGAAGGGTAAGGCAGGGTAATGTGGTTGTTGGTCTTCCCAGTACCAAGCCAAGAGCCACCCTTTTCTGCTAAGTCTACAAGATTGAGCTTGGAGGCAGTGGGAGCTCTGACCTCTGGCTGGTGAACTTTCCTTTCCCTGACAATAAGAACCTTCCTGGAGGACAGAGATGAGGGGTGGGGGAGGGAGGGAGGAGATAGGGAATGGCTAGAGTGAGGGTCTCTGAGTGGTTAGTTTGGTGCCCATAGGCAGACATGTACCTGTATAGCTCACCAGTGCAGGAATTCTAAACTTTTATGTGTCATGGGGCCCTTTGGGCAGTCCGGTAAAACCCATGGAATCCTCAGCATGGTGGTTTTAAATGCATCAGATTGAATATATCGTAATACAAAGGAAGACAATTATATTGAAGTGCAGCTTTCAAAATACAGTTATCACTTCTACATCTCAACTTTCCCCGTTCAGGTTTAGATAGATCGTGGGTCTGCATAAGAAATTAAACAGGAATTTTGGGGGAGTTGACATGCAAAGGCCAGCAGACAACACACAGAAACTTTACACTGTAAACACTCCATAAAAGAAAAAAAAAAGTCAGACTTCTTCTCTGGTACAAAGGGAGGGCCAAAAAATTTTATGTGGATTTTCCTGATCTGGGAGGTCTGGGGTAGGGGAAGCAGTGTGCCCCTAACCCCCGCCATGTGGAAGGGATAACTGTATTAAAAACTCAAGTTCCCAGACCCCCATTTAAGAATCCTTAGTAAAGTATTATGAGCATTAGATTAGATCAAGGAAAATCAGGAGAAATCTGCTCGCATTGTGAGTGGTTCCCTAACGGAACAAGCTGCCTTCAGCGAACTTCTTATTGCTGAAAGAGTTCAAGCCTAGTGTAGATGACCATCATCATGAATAATGTAAAAGGTATTCCTGATCTAGATGGAGGTAGGACTAAGTGACCTCCAAGGTCCATTACCACTTTGAGATTCTAATCTCAAGGACCCAGGGTAGTTCTGACCTTGTATATAGCAGATGAGGAGCAGACAGTCAGAACTATAAGAACTCAGAGAAGAGAAAACTCCCTGGGGGCTAGAGGGGGCAGGGAAGGGTTCTTGGAGGTTCTGAGAAGAAGAAAACCGTGATTCAATGCAAGAGATTATAATTATTATTCTAAGTAGTAAGTCCCCTGACCTGTGCCCACAGCCACCCCTTCTGTAGCCCTTTCTTCCCTTCATATGCATGCTTCTCATCCCTCTTTCCCTTCTAGACTTTGTGAGTGGCCTCCGTAGCTGAGGGAGACCAAGGCTTGGTGTTCTGAACCATTGTTGGGTGGAGTCTTTGCCTTTGTAGTGTCTGGCTTTTGGTGATATGCTGAAGCAGAAGCAGGGTGTGAGTGGTTCCCAGGGTTGCAGAGAACTCAGGAAAAGAGTTGACCCTTTGTCTGTATTATATCCTATTAACCTCCAGCATTCCTGCCCACAGAAGATTCACATCCTCTTGTGCTCCTGGAAATTGATCTATACATTATTGAAAGAAAGTACTGCAACAAAATGTTGAGAAAGTCCTTGTTGATCTCAGCATTTGTATCCATTGTTGACAAAAAGATGCTCTGTGCCTATCATCCAGAAGGAAAAGATGCCTGCCAGGTTAGTTCCTCCCATCCTCCTTCACCCTCCCCACTTGTTACCATGGGTTCTGAATATTAGCAACAAATATTAGAACTGCCTGGGAAAATAGCCTTTTTGGAGCTTTGCTGACACAATGGTTCTTAACATGAGATCCATGAATTTTTTTTGTTAATATGTTGATAAATGGATATCAAGGTAACTGCTTTCCTTCATAATCCAATATGTTTTGTTTTATGCTTTTAAAAATGTTGCTCTGGGGGGCTGAGTCAAGATGGTGGAGTGAAAGCAGTGACTTGCTTGATCTCTACCCCAAACCCCTCCAAATACCTGTAAAAAACGACTTTAAACAAATTCTAAAGCAGCAGAACTCACAAAAAAGACAGAGTGAAACAAATTTCTAGCCCAAGACAACCTGACTGGTTGATCAGAAAGGCATATTGTGCCGGGCAGGGAGAGGAGCATAGTTTGGCCTGGGTGTGCAGGCCACAGCAAACCTGAAGCAGGCCTAGGAGGACTGAATCGCAGGGCAGCTGTGGTGGTTTCCAGACTTCTCAACCCATGAACGCCAGAGACAACTTAGAAGGTCAGTGGGAAAAGTCTGTTTCTGTGGTGAGAGTGAGAAGCTAGGTCCCAGCCCCATTCCCCAAGCTTGGCCCCAGGGTGGTGGCTGCTTCCTGAGACTCTGGCCCACAGACTGAGGGGGAACCAGGTGGCTGACCAGAAGGGGATTACAGGAATCTCTTGCTTTGCCCGAGAGCTTTCAAGCTCTTGCTTGAACTGGGTCACAGTTCTGAGTGGTGGTCCTGGGGCAAGGAGGAGCGCTGGCGTGGTGGAGCTTATAGTGGTGGTGGAGAGGAAATCCTCCTCACAGTTTGAAGACAGAAAAGAGGGCTTGTGATCACTCATAGACCAGAGCACAGGCCAGGAAAAGAGTAAACATCTCGCCTCTTATCATACCACCTTGGAAGAACTAAAAATTTACAGGTCCCTAGAAATATCTCTGAAAACAGCTGTACAAACCCCTGAAGCTTGGGACAGTATGTTCTCCACATTGGAAGCAGACTCTTACTTTAACAAAGAGTTTAAAACTCAAGTAATTGACTGGGATCATGAGCAAACCTCACAAAAGGAGTCAGACCATAGAATCTTTTTTTTTTTTTGGTAACAAAGAAGATCAAAATTTATGACCAGAAGAAGACAACAAAGTCAAAGCTTCTACATCCAAAGCCTCTAAGAAAAATACGAATCAGTCTCAGGCCATGGAAGAGCTCAAAAAGGAGTTTGAGAAGCAAGTAAGAGAAGTAGAGTTAAAACTAGGAAGAGAAATGAGAGTGATGTAAGAAAATCATGAAAAACAAGTCAATAGTTTGCTAAAGGAGACCCAAAAAAATACTGAAGAAAATAACACCTTAAAAAAATAGCTTAACCCAAATGTCAAAAGAGGTCCAAAAAGCCAATGAGGAGAAGAATGCCCTAAAAAGCAAAATTGGCCAAATAGAAAAGGAAGTCCAAAAGCTTACTGAAGAAAATATTTCCTTCAAAATTAGAATAGAGCAATTGGAAGCTAGTGACTTTATGAGAAATCAAGACACTGCAAAACAAATCCAAAAGAATGAAAAATTGGAAAATGATGTGAAATATCTCATTGGAAAAACAACTGACCTGGAAGATAGATCCAGGAGAGATAATTTAAAAATTATTGGACTATCTGAAAGCTATGATCAAAAAAAGAGCCTAGACATCATCTTTCAAGAAATTATCCAGGAAAACTGCCCTGATGTTTTAGAACCAGAGGGCAAAATAGAAATTGAAAGAATCCACTGATCTCCCCAAAGGAAAACTCCTAGGAATGTTGTAGCCAAATTCCAGAGTTCCCAGGTCAAGGAGAAAATGTTGTAAGCAGTCAGAAAGAAACAATTCAAGTATTGTGGAAACACAATCAGGATAACACAAGATTTAGCAGCTTCTACATTAAGGGACTGGAGGGCATGGAATATAATATTCCGGAGGACAAAGGAGATAGGATTACAACCAATAATCATCTACCTAGCAAAACTGAGTATAATCCTTCAGGGGAAAAAATGGTAATTCAGTGAAATAGAGGACTTTCAAGCACTCCTGAGGAAAAGACCAGAGCTGAATAGAAAATTTGATTTTCAAATACAAGAATCAAGTGGAACATGAAGAGGTAAATGGGAAAGAGAAATTATAAGAGACTTATTAAGGTTGAATTGTTTACATTCCTGCATGGAAAGATGATATTTATAACTCATGAGACCTTTGTCAGTATTAGGGTAGTTGGAGGGAAAAAACTATATGTGTGTAGATAGATAGATAGATAGACAGACAGACAGACAGACAGACAGACAGATAGATAGATAGATAGATAGGTAGATAGATAGATAGATAGATAGATAAAAGGCACAGGGTGAGTTGAAAATGAAGGGGTCAAATCTGGAGAATAAAATTAAGGGGTGAGAGAGGATTATACTAGGAGAAGGAGAAAGGGAGAGGTATAACAGGGTAAATTATCTCACAAAAACAGAAAAGAAAAGGTTCTTACAGTGAATGGGAAATGGGGGAAGGTGAGAGGGAATGAGTGAATCTTATTCTCACAGGATTTGGCTTAAGGAGGGAATAATGTACACATTCAATTGAAATTGGAAATCTGTCTTACCCTATAGGAAAATAGGTGGGGGGGGGAAGGGACAAAAGAGCAGAGGGATGATAGAGGCGAGGGCAGATTGGGAAAGGGGGTAATCAGAAGCTAACACTTCTGAGGAGAGACAGGGTCAAAAGAAAGAATAGAATAAATGGGGGACGGGATAGGATTAAGGGAAATAGAGTTAGTTTTTCACAACATGACTACTATGGGAATGTTTTGCATAACTGCACATGTATAACCTATATTGAGTTGCTTGCCTTTTCAATGAGGGCGAGTGGGGAGAGAGAAAGGGAGAAAATTTGGAATCCAATGTTTTAAAAACACATGTTTTAAAAAAAGTTTTCACATGAAACTGGGAAATAAGAAATACAGGAAATGGGGTACAAAAATCTAACCTGCCCTACAGGAAAATAAAAGGGGAAGGGGATAAGAGAAGGTTGGTAGAGATAGAAGGGAGGGCAAACTAGGGGAAGGGGTATTCAGAATGCATGCCATCTTGGTGTGGGGGAAGGGTGAGATGGGGTGAAAATTTGGAACTCAAAATCTTGTGGAAGTAAATGTTGAAAACTAAAAATAAATATTTTTTAAAAAAGAAAAAAAAAGTAAAGGCTTGTAACTGCTAAAAAACAAAACAAAACAAAACAAAACAAAAAAAACCCAAAACCATGATTCTGTAAAAGGGTCCACTATGCTTTACCAGTCTGCCAAAGCGGTCCATGACTCGAAAGAGGTTAAGAGCCCCTGGGTTGAAGATGAAGGGTCAGCCACAGAGAAGTGTCACTGCTACATGGTCTTTGATAAGTTAGGTCTAAACAGTGGACAAGGAAAGGAGAGAGCTGAAAAACCTCAAGGCCAGAATCTGTGGAGGAGAGGAAACCAAACACAAATGGGGTCCAAAGAGGTAAGTTTCTGAAAAACATAGACAGAGCCAGCCAGAGGAAGCAAGATCATAGAGTTAAGAGTTGAGGTGGGGAGCTTAAGAATCCAGAATTACACTAATTCCATCAAAGTGGAATTGGGATGTTGTGAGACAAACTGTGTCCCCCCCAAAGACTTCTTTGGAACTGAGGGCTGTGCTATGGCACCCTTAAACTTTATTCCTACCTCTGCCGCTAAGAAGGTGTACGACATCAGGCAAACCATTTCTTCCTTTGGGGCCTCAGTTACATTATCTGTAAAATGAAAGGGTTGGACCAGATGGTCTCTGTGGTCCCTTTCACTGCTGAAAGGGTGGGCCATAATGGAAATAGATAAGCTCTTTCCCTTTCGGGCCTCCCTCCCTAGATTTATGACTCTTGCTTCCTGGAATAATCTGGCAAAAAGAATCACTGTGCTGGAAAGAGTCAGGATTTCATCAAATTCTCCTGTTGAGTGCCTGTGGTGTGACTCCTTGGAGGAGGGCCTGCCCAGGTCCAGAAATCAGCTGCCAGTGTCAAGCCTCTGGCAGGCGTGAACCTGTGGCCAAACAGGGAATAGGATGGTGAAGAAAGACTGGAGGAAGATGAGACAGGGAGCCATGATGGGGTTGGGATGATCTCAGGGGTTATGGCAAAAGTCATGGAGCAATCATTATTTTTATATAGGAGTTAAGCAAATTGACATGTGGTGGGAGAAGTGGTTTCTCATTCCCATCTCCTACAGAACCATTTCTGTGGCTATTCTTCCACCCTTCCTGAGGTGTCTAGGGATCAATAAAATCTCATCACTTATTCATACTCCCTTTTCAAGGTTCTAGTTTCTACTCTAAATTCCTCTCTCTTTCTCCAGGGGGACTCCGGGGGACCCCTTGCCTGTGAAATTGGACAGCACACCTGGGTGCAGGTGGGGATAGTGAGCTGGGGAATTGGCTGTGGAAAACCCGAAGTTCCTGGAATTTATACCAAAGTCAGTTCATTCTCCACATGGATTGTCAGGACCATAAACCAAGAAGGCTCTTCACTTTTGGCCTCTTCCTGCCTCACATTTGTCTCGATGCTGCTGCCCTTGTGTGTCCTAATAACCCCATGACCCAGCCTCTTCATATTTCTGCTCAGCTCCCCTTCTTTTACCTGCTTTCAGACTTTCCTCAACTCTTACTGCTCCCTCCAAAGACTTCTCATCCTTCCTTACCTTCAAAACCTCTGACCCAGCTAAGTTGCAAGAGGATGAGCCAGTTACAGTATGGAAAGCACCTGGCAAACCTTAAAGCCAGCTATAAACTTGAGTTGCTGTTGTTGGTTGTGGTCGTTGTTTTTATTATAATCCGCCATCGAGCAGACGCCATGATCTGAAATGTGGTCTTTGGCGAGAGGAGATGGATGTAACACAAATCAAGGCAGGCTGTTGGAAAGACAGAGAGAACGTGTGGCTTCCAAAGTTCCTGAGGTTCTCCGTCCTCCTTTCAGTTCTCCCCTCCCAAAGAAACCATAAGGTGTATGGCTCTCCATGTCTCTCTCCTTCTAGGAACCATTCTTCCTTCCCCCAGTCCCCATCTGCTCTCAGGTCAGAGACCTAAGGCCCTTCACTTCCCCTTTGCTAGATGGATAGTACATGGTTCCCTTTGATCCACCCGTGTCTTTGATCATTAATGCTTCATGTTAATAAAACTTCAGAAAAGTATGTAGCTGACTGAGAGAAAAAGTATTATCTCTGGGTATAAAGGTGTTGGAGCTGGTGATGAACTTGTCTGGTGCCATCTAGATCCCCGTCTCTCTTTGAACCAGGCTTTGGTGGTGTTGGTGGCCTGTTTGGTTGTACCCATTGCCTGGAGAACATTGCTGCCCTTGTAAACAAAAGACTGGATGCCTCCTTCATTGATAGGTGGAAGGATTATTTGAACTTATTTAAGAGATAATTTTGATCACAGCTATAAACTGTAGCTATTGGTGTACAACGAGTACCATAGAGTGTCAACCATTTATTCAGTGTTTTAAATGTGCCAGGCTCTACTTTCAGCAACAGAGAAACAGGGATGAAAAATAACGTAAGAACTGCCCTCTTAAATAACATAAAGAGCTTACAGTTTAATGGGCAAGTTGCTCAATCTTTCTGTGCCTCAGTTTCCTCATTTGCAGAGTAAAAGGGTTGGACTAGATGGCTTCTAAGGGTCTCTTCCAGTTCTGAATATATGAAGCCATAAGGATGCTGTAAGGGAGAAAGTTTAAGGGTAAAGGAGAGATGCAAACAAAAATGCTCTAGGAAAATTTCAGGAGGGAGAGTTCACTTTCAGCTTGATGAATCAAGAAAAACTCCATGGGGGAGAGGACATCTGGTCTTTGAAGGAAGGAAAGGATTTCAACAAGCAGAGATGAGAGAGGGCATTCCACCCAGTTTTCGAGGCTGGTAGAACAAGATGAGAGAAGAGATAGTAGTTCAATTTGCCTGAAAAAATAGAGGAGAATGGATTTCAGTGGTAGGGAGGAGATAGAAGAGAGAAAATATGAAAATAAAACAAAATTGAATTTTTAAAAAGAGAAGGAAAGAAAGGAAGGAAGCAAAGAAGCAAGAAAGCAAGGAAAGAAAGAAAGAAGAAAGGAAGGAAGGAAGGAAAGAAAGAAGAAAGGAAGAAAATGAAAAAGCATTTGTTAAGCACTTACAATGTGCTAGTCACTTTGTTAAGCACTGGGAATACAATTACAAAAGTTAGAGCCTGTCCTCAAGGAGCTTACATTCTAATGGGAAAAACAACACATAAAGGAGAGTGGGTGAAGGGAATACTATGAAATAAGGATGAAAAGATATGTTAACTCCAGAGTGTAGAGAGCTTTAAATACACAAATTAGGAATATGTACTTTTTCCTATGGGCAATAGGGAGTCTATTGGAGGTTTTTCAGGCAGTGAGATGATATGGTCTTCACATTGTGAAGAATATTTTGGTACCCAAGTGAAGCATTGTTTAGAGTAGAGGGTAGAGGTAGAGAGATCCTCTAGGAGAGTATTGTAAAACTGTAGGTGAAAGGTCATGAGTTCCATTACTAGGATGGTGGCAGTGGGACCAGAGGGGTGCTGGCAAATTGTCTAAGTGGAATTGACAGGAATCAGCAACTGATTGGATGTATGGGATTTGGGAGAAGGAAGATTTAAAGATAATTCTGAGCTTTGGAGAGTGGATGACTGGGAAGGCGGTGGTATCATCAGCAGAAAGAGAGAAGTAGTGAGAAAGCCTTGTGAAAGAGAGTGAGATGATGATTTCAGCATCAGATCGATAGTCTGAGGTACCAGTAAGATATCTAGGAGAAAAAAAAATGCTCAATTTAGTTTAGGATTTGTTGAGTTTCCAGGGCTGATGGGATATCCAGGCAGAAATATATAGGAGATAGTTGGAAGGGGGGAACTGGAGATCAAGGGAGGAATTGAAGCTAGAGATGGAAATTGGGGGGGGGTTGCATCTGTATAGAGGGGATAGTGAAAGTCATGAAAATGCATGAGATTGCCTTAATACAAAGAAAGAACAAGGACAGAGCCCTGAAGGACATTCACCAGTGACTGAAGGGCTTAATGAGACGTGACCTCAGAAAGAGCGGTCAGACAGGTAGGAGAACAGGAGAAAGCAGCATCGTAAAATCAAAGAGTGGAAAGAGCTTCCAGGAAGAAGGCCCAGTCAGGACTCACAGAATCTTAGAGCTGGGGAGTTCTGCTTCCAGGAGCCAAGATGGCGGAGTAAGAAGTCATTCTCACACTCCCTTATTGACCTCTGAAAGCCCAGAAAATATCACTCTAGGAAAAACTCAGTAACAGCTGAACCAGCAGAAAGATGGGGTACAGCAGTCCTATAGCCTGGGAAGCTTGGGGGATTAATGGGAAAGGCCCCTCTTGCTCTGGGGCAGGGAGAACAGTGCAGAATGGGAGATGTCCCAGCAAGCTAGCGGAAAGCCCCACTTCAGTATATCAGGGGGAGATCCTGAACCCCAGGTAGTGGAGCAGGCAGAGCACCAACCCCAGGACCTCTGAATGCCTCAGTGTGGGCAAGGGAACCAGTGGAAAGCAGCTCTGAAAATGACCACCTACTACAGCATTCTCCGGCAGCCAAGTTTCCTGGTGCCTCAGTAAAACTCTGGGAAGCACAACTCCAAGAGGGAAAGCTCCAGGTGGAGAAACATCCTGCAGCAGCGAAACATCCATCTGCAAGGAGCCAAAGAAGGGAGTGAAAGGCCCAGGTGAGTAGGCAACTACAGGGGCCAGACTACCCACCCCTACCCCTAGAGCTCCAGTGTTACTGATTCCAGCCCAGCACCAGGTAAGCTGCCAGAACCCTACAGCCTCCAACTGCCAGCACCTGAGGCCCCAGCACACAAAGCCAGTGACCAGGCCCCAGGCTCAGCACAAGAAACTTGGGTCAGTGCCTCCTGTTCCACGCAGGAGAGCTCAGTTTTTTTAAAGGTCAGGAAATAAGCAAATGCCATGAGCAAAAAGAAATGTACAATGACCATAGATTCTTATTGTGGGACAGGGAAGATCAAGGGAGAAATTCAGAAGAGGACAACATTGTCAACAAACCCACATCTGAAACCTCAGAAGGGAATATGAACTAGTCTGAAGCCAAAAAAACCCTCTTGGAAGAGCTCAAGAAGGACTTTAAAAGTCAAATAAGAGAGGTAGAAGAAAAATTGGGAAAAGAAATAAGAGATATGCAAGAGAGAGTCATTAGCTTGGAAAAGGAAGGACAAAAATTAAAAGTAGAAAACAAGTCCTTAAAAAATACAATTGACCAAATGGTAAAAAAGTACACTGAAGAAAACAACTCCTTAAAAAGCAGAATTGGGGGGGGGGTGGAGCCAAGATGGCAGAGTAAAAGCAGTGACTTGCTTGAGCTCTCCCTCAAACCCCTCCAAATACCTGTAAAAAATGGCTGTAAAGAAATTCTAAAGCAGCAGAACCCACAAAAAGACAGAGTGAAACAATTTTCCAGTCTATCACGCCAGGATGGGAGAGGAACGCAGTTAAGTGTGGGTGTGCAGGCAAACCAGGCCTCAGTGAACCTGGAGCAGGCTTCAGAGGACTGAATCACAGACAAGAAAAGGCTTTTACAGTAAGGGGAAGTGGGTGAAGTGGGGAAGGTGAGAGGGAATGAATGAATCTTATTCTCATAGGATTTGGCTTAAGAAGGGAATAACATACACACTCAATTGGGTATGGCAATCTATCTTACCCTACAGGAAAATAAGGAGGAAGGAGATAAGAGAGCAGGGGGATGATAGAGGGGAGGGAAGATTGGGGGAGGGAGTAATCAGAAGCAAACACTTCTAAGGAGGGACAGGGTCAAAAGAGAGAATAGAATAAATGGGTGGTGGTATAGGATTAAGGAAAATACACTTAGTTTTTCACAACATGACTAGTATGGAAGTGTTTTGCATGACTACACATGTATAACCTGTATTGAGTAGCTTGCCTTCTCAATGAGGGTGGGTGGGAAGAGAGGAAGGGAGAAAATTTGGAAACCAAAGTTTTAAAAACAAATGTTAAAAAATTGTTTTCACATGCAACTGGGAAATAAGATACACAGGCAATAGAGTATAGAAATCTATCCTGCCCTACAGGAAAATAGAAGTGGAAGGGAATAAGAGAAGAGGTGGGGACATAGATGGAAGGGCACATTAGGGGAAGGAGTATTCAGAATGCATGTCATCTTGGGGTGGGGGGAGGGACAAGATGAGGAGAAAATTTGGAATTCAAAATCTTGTGCAAGTGAATGTTGAAAACTAAAAATAAACTAATAAAAAAAGAAGAATTATGGAGCAAGTTTATGAGACAGTAGCTATTTTCATGTGATGTCAAAATATCTGAATAAAAATGAGGGAAAAAAAAGGCAGAATTGGCCAAACGGAAAAGGAAGCACAAAAACTCACTGAGGAAAAGAACTCCTTAAAAACCAGAATTGGCAAAATAGAAAAGGAGGTACAAAATTTAATAGAAGAAAACAATTTGTTAAAAACTAGAACTGGGCAAGTGGAAGCTAATGACTCTATCAGAGAGTGAGAATCAGTTGTACAGAAACAAAAGAACGAAAAAATAGATGAAAATGTAAAATACCTCATTGGTAAAACAACTGACCTGGAAAATAGATCCAGGAGAGACAATTTAAAAATTATTGGTCTCCCTGAAAACCATGATGAAAAAAAGAAAGCCTGGATAACATCTTTCAGGAAATTATCAAGGAAAACTTCCCTGAGATCCTAGAACCAGAGGATAAAATAGTCATTGAAAGAATCCATCAATCACCACCTAAAAGAGATCCCAAATTGAAAACACCAAGGAATATAGTAG